ACTTACATTTATGGGTCTCCTTTTTCTTTTCGCTTGGGCAGCCATTTTGCGTCTGTAGCCTGGGTTAGCAGAGCCACTTCTCATACCCCTTCGTTTGAAGTGTGCACCCGAAAAATCTTCGTTTGAAGGGCTATCTGGCCCTTTCCCCTAGCCCTCCCCCTCCAACCAAAAGAGAATTGGGACGGCCCTACCCCTTCACGTGGATGTGCAAAACGAAGGGGAAGGGGAAAGTGAAGGGGTAAGGGGTAGAATTGGGATTGGCCCTAAATTACCTTTCCAAATCAGAAAAGACATACATTTCAAGGAAGGAATGTTATAATCATCATCTTTCCTTAAAGTTAAGAGCAGCTGCGCTGATTGTCAGTTGTTGTCATGGAGAAATCCTGTAAAAACTCCATAACGGCAGAGCCATCTCCGACAACTGATGACATATCGGGTTGTTCCATTTCGTAGGGGAATATTTCAACCCTTGGCCCTTGTAACTCTGTTTTAAGGGTCAAGGGAGAAAACAAGGGGTAGGGCCAAGGGGTGAATTGGGATTGAGCCTGTCTCACTGCAAGGTCTTCCTGGGTCAGAAGAAATTTGGGATAAGACATCAAAAGGACATGTTTGTCAGTGTTGTTGTTCTGATTACACAATCTTCTGTTATTCTCTATTATCAGGACCTTGCTGACAGTTCACTCCCTCCATCTGCTGGTTAGTGTTCATTATGCATCTTGTTCCTTAAAAGAAGTGACTGTTTTGTATGCTACGGACAACAGGGGGCAGTGCTAAAGCCTCTGATGGACAGACAGTTATGGAGAATGAAGCAGTGAAATCTATTTTAAGGAGATGAATGACTAGGAGAGCTGTAAAGACTTAAAGATCAGGTTTGAGAAATGCCAAAATGACCAGACAATAGATTCAGTTCTCCTCAAAGAACTGGCTAAAACAACTGACGCGACAGAAAGTGTTATTTTTTACACAGTTTTTGTGTTTAAGATTTTTTCTTTGATATAAATCAAAAAAAAAAAAGTTTGAAAATCTAAATATTTAACATCTAATTTAGTCAATGTTTAAATATTTCATATTCATATTCATGATGAATTTTAGAGTTAAAAAAATACATAAAAATGAGTCGACATTGCTCAAAATGTTCATTTTAGATCCTAAATGAACGTCATAATTAGTACTTCAACATGATTGCAAAACTAACATTGATTTTACACAACAGTTCTGTAAATAGTAATTTGGCAACTTAGGTTTCATTCAAAATTGTATACAAAATTTTATATTTTAATTGTTTGTGTGGTTTTAACAGAAAGCCACTGGCATGAGACAAACAACATCTTTCTCTGCTCGACAATCATTAACAGTTCTGTTGTAGCGGCGGTTTCTAGAGTACACATGCTTTGCATATGTGGCCATATGTGCGTGAATAACATGGTGGGCATGTGGTAAACTGCCATCAGACGGAGCACAGGGCTTTGTCAGAGAGATTGTCATTTGTCTGAGCTCCTCGTATTTCGGCTTATCAGTGTGAGATTTTAACAGGTTGTCAAAACAAAAATATATACATTCAGATGCTAAACAGGGCTCATGTTAATGTAGATGCATGTGACTGCGTTTCAGAATTCAATTTCCATGGAATATTGATGCCAGTGAGATGTTTACCATACAGCATATTGTTTCTTCCACTAACAAAAAAAAAAAACATATTTCATTGTTAATACATACTATGGTAATACCAAGTCGTTTGAGCATAAATCACTGTTATACAAACTTATTCTTTAAAATATTTTTTTAAATACTTTGTAGCGCCATATTATCATGGTAAATGTGCATGTAATTTACCTCAACATTTAAACAGATAGTTGGAAACTTATACCTGATCAAACTAATAGTGGTTGACTATAATAGTACACTCTAAAAAATGCTGGGTTGTTTTAACCCAACTTTGGGTCAAATATGGACTAACCCAGCCGTTGGGTTAAATTTTTACATTACATTTTTAACCCAACATTTCGGGTTTGTCCATATTTGACCCAAAATTGGGTTAAAACAACCCAGCATTTTTTAGAGTGTATAATAGTATAATAGTTAAGATTGTTTTTTAGTCAAATGCTCCTGTCACGAGAATTTTTGGATTCTGTGTTAGCACCCCCCAACCTTTACAATGAAAGCATAGGTGCACTGGAACAATCATTCATTAAAACGCATAAAACTTTAGTTTACAAAGACGTGAAACTCACCGAGTGGTCTGGGGGGGTTCACTGATATGCTCACACAAAAATCGCTGCAAAAGATGCTTTCCAACAGGTTTTATCGTAGTTTTTGTCCAAGTCCATTTTCTTCCTGTTTTTGGTCGAAGTCCACGGTAGTCGATTGTCGAGTTCACATGCGCGATCCTTAGCTATCTAGTTACCAATGATCGCGCACGTGAACTCGACAATTTACTACTGTGGACTTCGACCGAAAACAGGAAGAAAATGAAGTCGGACAAAAACTAGGATAAAACCTGTTGGAAAGCATCTTTTGCAGCGATTTTTGTGTGAGCATATCAGTGAACACCCCAGACCACTCGGTGAGTTTCACGTCTTTGTAAACTAAAGTTTTATGCGTTTTAATGAATGATTGACATTATAAAGGTGGGGGGGGTGCTAACACAGAATCCAAAAATTCTTGTGACAGGAGCATTTGTCTAAAAAACAATCTTAACTATTCTATTTCATCAGGGACGATCTTAAAACAGGACTTTATTTGTAAAAATAAAAATACCGAACTTGTCCTTTAAGCTTCTTTCAACTTTCGGATTGACGCTCAAAACGGCCAAAACGTGACGCCGATGGATTTGACGCTCCTTGTAGCTGAGAAAAGCCAGCTTCCATTGACAATGAATGACTTCCGGCCACTTTGGAAGCTCAAGTCGGCGGCGGTGTGAACGTACAGTTACCCGTAAGAGTTGTTGGTGTAACCTAGCCTGGCAAGCCAGACCTACATCAAGATGTTAGGTCTGGGAACTCGCAATTCAGGATAAATGGTTGTCTTTCAATATCCCTCTGCATGCAATAGGTTAGCGCTACAACCAACCAGGGGTGCATTTCCCGCACAACGACGTAGCTCACTGCTTCACTACCATAGTACGATGCATCGTTGGAGAAATCAACTAGCTAGTCACGACTGTTTCCCGAAACCCACTGTCGCAAAGTATCGTTCAACCACGTTGGTTTCACACGTGAAGTAATAACTGCTTTTAATGAAACTGTTTGAGATACAATTAACGCTAGATTTGTTTATATAAATTACAGACATGTCATCTGAGGACTATTTCCAATTGCTCACAGTTGTTTTGCTTTATTACCAGACTCAATATTTGGCTTGTTCTTACAGAGTAGAGCACGTTCGCACATGCGCACTCTTCAAACACGTTACTTTAAATCTTTTGTCAAATACGTAAATTCCATTTGTATGTGTTCTAAATAAAAGGCACCGGTTGTACTGAATGTCAGCTTGATTATTTTGCTCAAGATAAGGATTTCTTACCTCCAAATGTCATGCAATATAGAAACGATGCCTCTAACTACAGGTCGAGAGCTTTGCGATGCTGTTTGCGAATGTTCGTTGGAACGATGGTTTCGGGAAACACCGACTCGTTGAACTATGCTGATAACGACGGAACTTGCGACCATAGTTGGCTAACAATGCTTTCGGGAAACGCACCCCAGTGCAACGAACGTCTGTGGCTGAGTGAGTCCCATGCGTTTCCCACCAGCGGAGCTAGTTGATATATTAAACTTTTTCCGTACCCGGTCATCAAAACTTCGAACATATTGTATCTTCCTTTTTTAAGAAGTGACGTTCTCTTAACTCTAAGTCGTCCAGAGTCGCGGCCAAAGCCGATTCGAAAAACCGCTGTTCGCCAGCAGCATCTTCTTTTCAAGTAGCAGGGAAATCACCTATGGAAATCACGGCGCAGAACCGTCACAACTCTGCCATCATTGTGTTAAGCCCGCCCACTAACTCTGTACACAATGTGATTGGCCTGAACAGAGTTTGTTTTTTCTACTTCAAAAGCCAATGGAGAGTTGCTAGACCACACTGGCTGCAAAATATTTTTTGCTGCCGCTAGGGTGCGTCTAGATTTCTAGGCTTGGTGTAACCCAATTTTAATCATTAATCAACAAGTCTCTAAATAGTTTAAGCTTTTAAATGTATTTGGTCTTGGTGAACTAGATCTTCTACACTGCTGCTGCTGCAGAGTGCCGCTATTGCCATTAGAGACACAGGGATGCTTTTGCTGCATAAATAGACATTCATAAATCCCATAGCAGATCAAGGCAGGTGGAGCTGGGGGAGGTGGAGGGTTTCAGAGGAACTCTAATAGTGCACTACAGGACCAGTTAACAGCAAACACTAAACCAGATTTAAATAATCTCATTGGTTGCAGAATCAGCAGAGGCCAATCAGCTTAATGCCATTTAGTAAATGTTGTAATTGCTAGCATATTGCATGTAAAGGATTTGCTTGCACCATCTAGAGTTTCATGCCTGAGCTACATATGCTGTCTGGTCAGTTCAGTCACATTAAAGGAGTAGTTCTCTTTTAAAATAAAAACTTTTGCCGATAATTTACCCCCATGTCATCCAAGATGTCCATGTCATTCTTTCTTCAGTGGAAAAGAAGTTAAGGTTTTCATCAAAATGAACTGATCGTTTCGCTAGATAAGACACTTATTCATCGTCTGGAATCGTTTAAAGCTGCACTGAAACTCTCATTTGGACCCTGAACCGTTTGGTTCCCAATAAAGTCCATTATATGGAGAAAATCCTGGAACGTTTTCATCAAAAACCTTAATTTCTTTTCGACTGAAGAAAGAAAGACATGGACATCTTGGATGACATGGGGGTGAGTAAATTATCAGCAACATTTTTTTTTTTAAAGTGAACTACTCCTTTAATACAATGTAATTTAAAAAGATTAACATGACTGCACTGTCAAAAATACAACTTTGAATGTACAGATTAATTTATTCAGGCACATCAGGTGTCAACATTTATTGGCATTAAAAATTCATTGAAATTGGCACAAAAATTGTCAAATATTTTTTACATAAAAAACGGATTCATAACTACATATAACGCAGTGCAATGGTTAACAATCCTCAGATTTACATATTTCAAAGATCAACTTCATAGAATTCCATGTTATTCAATGTTAGTGTACATAAAAATTCCCAAGTTCAATTGAGCCTCAATTAAGCCAAATAATATTAGAAAATCAGTGTTTTAAGTCCACATTACATTATGAACATTAAAAAGGCAAAACCATCCTGTGTAAAATACTCAGTATTTATTTACTCTTTCCCAGCTACGAGAAAGTCTTGGTGGATGGAGCACATTAACTACCCATGAATCTCTGCGAGTTGTTCTGAAGGCCTCTCAGTGTTCGCTCAGTGAACTGGTAGGTAAGTTTACGCTTCACTTTGCAGATCTCTCCTGTTCGCGAATAGTTTCGCAGGGCACGGGCCATTTTCTGGTACGTCATGGTTTTCCGGTTACCCTTGCGTCTGCCCCACATCTCTGCCAGCTTTTCCTTGTTCTGGGAGGAAAACTGGAACGTTCCGCTGTTCGATTGAACCCACCAAATGCAGCTCCGCATGTCTGGTGTCTGTAGCATCTCATATAAGAACTGGAACAGGCGCTCTTTCCTTTTACCTGAGAAATGTCAATGGTTTAGTGACTGTTAAATGTGTCTACGTAATTTACCAACGCACGGTCTATTATTAAGGCCTATTATTATTATTGAAATGTCCAACTCGATCCAACCAAAGCCTATGTAAATCACTTGATTTATTTGGAAGAACAAATACAAAGTAGGTAACATGTTGGAAACATAAACACAACATTTGACACTGAATAAAGTCAAAAGAGCCCAGCCAAGTCTGTCTCAATGGCCAAAGCGGCCAAAACGCACATGGCACCCTTTAACGTCAATCAGAGACGCAGATATATATGGGGCAGAGGGCGCCTCCTAGTGGTCTAACCCTAACCCTACCCCAGACCTAAACCTACCCATAACCGTTATATTGACGCTAAAGGGTGCCATGTGTATTGGATGTCTACGCTTTTGGCAAAAGCGTCGTATATGACGCCTTGGGATGAGAAAGCGTTGGTTCCACAGAACTTGAGGGTGACTAAATGATTAGAATATATCATTTATTTGTGAAACATTCCCTTTTAACTCTTTTTAACCAGTCCATTTTAAAGTGACTCACTAAAACGAATCGACTGTCCCAAAACCAAAATGAAAATAGCATACTAATGCTGTTTTACCTGAGAGCGGCGCTAGTGCCATAGAGTCAAACACAATCTGTCCCTTCCTGTCTGAGGTCGGAGATGGGGGAAATTCAAGACATCCAGAACTGGTGGACAGCGAATCTGAATCACTGCAGTGGTTTCTGTCATACTGGAAGTGTCCCTAAAACGTAGACTGCTATTAACATCCACGCATAGGTCAAACTACATCCAGGACTGTAATATTATTAGTGTTTATGTCTGGTGAGACCTACCCACTCGTTGTGACTTGACTGAGAGAGCCAGGTCTGCTGCTGCTGAGGCTGTTGTTCATGAGTCTCATCTGTTCCTGGTACTGAACTATAATGCCATTCATATGCATAACGACCAGACCAGCTGTTCTCTATGGAAACACATCAATCATTATTATCACATAATGCTGCTCGCTACAATCAACAATACATACAAGCTGTAAGAAGTTGTGGTTATTTTGGATGACTTTATCCTATCCAACTTAACTGACAGCAACAAGTGTAATACTTTTAATCTGTAGCATTTTTATAACATTGCTGTTTACTTGAGCATCTGAGCAGCCTGACACAGCAACAGCTCGACCAATCGTGTGAGTTTGGGGGCGGGGTTAACTTTCTGACTGGCCAATGGAGGATGTGGAGAAGATAGACCTGTTTAAATGACCGCAGCCTTTTGTTGTTGTTGTTGTTGTGGCAAAAAGATCACACAATTTTTACTTTTTATTACTAAGTGTCCACTGTTTTTACAGTTACTCCTCACTAAACTGAACGGGAATCTACGTCTTGAGACAAATAACAAAGCTTTGGCAAATATATAAAACAAAAATATACCGTTTATAGGTTGATTCCCCCGAAAAGTGTAAATATTTTTTAAACTGTAACACTTTCAAAAGACACGGCAACAGCTCGACCAATGGTGTGAGTTTGGGGGCTGGGCTTACTGTCTGACTGACCAATGGAGGATGTGGAGAAGGTGGACCTGTTTAAAAACTGTGTGACTGTGTTTATTTTTTTTTTTTTTTTGTGGAATCACACAATTCACAAGTACTTTTTATTGCAAAATTTCCACTGTTTTTAGTTTCTCCTCTCTAAACTAAACTGTTTTAACCTGAGGTATGGAATCCACGTCTTGATACAAATAACAAAGCTTTGTCAAAGAGGAAATTACTAACCTTACAAAACTGAAAGTGAACTTCCATTCAATTCAAAAAGGAGAAGTGACCCTTTCCTCAGTGTATGGTGTTTTAGTTTGGATTGTAAAACACTCACCTGCCATACTGTGCTCCTCTTGGTTTCTCCTCTGGACACAAGGCGCTGACATCACCTCTACAGAGTGCTCCTGCAGGTATTCCTCAATCATGTCCAGGTCCAGGTTCCCTGACAACGGCTCTCGAGAGCCCAGATCTGGGAAGTATTGAACCTGGAGGTAATTCAATGCATGTCAGCAAGCATTAAATCAGATGCAGTACAGACATTACACAATGAGCATCAGTGGAATAATAGGGTAAAATAAAGTTAAATATTTCAGTTTCAATCTTTCGAGCTGCTTTCATGTTTAGGCGAGACAACTTTATTTCCTTTTTGTAGATAGAAAGAACAACACATTTTAAAAAATTACATTTTAAAACTGTATACAGTCTTGCTCAAATGTTTACAGGCCCTTGCAGAAAATGTAAAAAATATTAATAATTTTAACAAATTGAGGGTTCATAAAATTGCATTTTATTTAGTACTGATAGATATTAGTAAAAGATACTAATATGCTTCCCAGAAGGCAGACAAAAAAATTCTCCATCAATATCAGAAAGTTTAAAAAGACTCCACTTTAGTTTTGCCTTTAGATTCCACTTTAATTATGTTTTTCTTGTGGACTCTGTGTAAACATTGGTTATGTTGAATATCTTATTCAGGTATTAAATATAAAAAAAAATATCATGCAGTTTTTATAATCCTATCTTATTTTGTTAAAATTATAATAAACAAATGCAAATTCTTCAAGGGTATGTAAACTTTTGAGCACAAATATATTAATTCAGTTACAACAATTTGCATGACTAGACAGTGAATCTCCCTCTTCTCAGTAAAAATGAGAATAATTTGCATTGTGAGAGTGAGTAAACATTTTAGTGGTAATAATATGCATATATTTTGCCTATAGCTTTGAATGTCATTGCATAAAGCAACAAGATATAAAACTAAGTGCCATTTTACTTTGACTTTTACACCAGCATACTGTATTTACATTCAACATATGCAACACTTTAAATGTACATCAAAACTTTCTGCATTCATATGTGTAGACCAGATATAATATTATACAGAAATAATGATGGTTTTCCAAATCAATAGTACAACAGTGGCATTCAAAAGCCATTTAAGAGAGCTGATATATGCACACTTGTATATATATATATATATATATATATATATATATATATATATATATATATATATATGATCATAAGATATCTATATATCTTTTTTTATGAGATCCTGCAGAGCTGGAAAATAATTTGTCATGTACCCCCACCCCAGAAAAATAAATAAATAAATAAATAAATAAATAAATAAATAAATAAATAAATAAATAAATAAATAAATAAATAAATAAATAAATAAATAAATAAATAAATAAATAAATAAATAAATACTCACGGTTTCAAGGGCCAACATCTGAAAGAAAAGAAAAAAAGTCAGATAAGTATACAAATCTCGAACAGCACATGAGCACAAACTCCATATTGTGAATTTGAAAAAAATCACTTTATTAAAAATACTTTATTACATTTTTTCACATGAACATTTTTTTCAACAAATCAACATTTACCATTTACCTTTTATACCACAAATAACTAACAAAAAAAGCTTTTCCTACATTAGAAGAGAAAATTCTTCATTCTTCATTCTTACACCATTTAATTTCAAATGTAATAACATCATCCATGGACTAACTATAAAAACAAAAATCAATGAGTATTCAGGATTCAACTGTGTCTATATAGACCGTATACACCTTAAAATTGAATATGCTTTATCCAATCAAAAAAATTGTGGCAACAGATTACAAGCAATAGTATTAATTACATTTAACAAATTAGAATTGAGTAAGAATTAATCAAATTAATTCCTTAAAAGTTAACAATTTAAAATGAGTAAAACTTACAACAACAACCAAAAAAACATAGGCTAAATTGATGTCACCATTATGGTGATCAGTGTTTGTTTTAAAATGACGGTTTTCCCCTTCCGTGATTCTGCTTGTTAACATCAGGTATCTTCAATGTTGCCAATATAAATTAAAGAGTTCTTAATTAATCTTTGACGTCTGTCTGTTAGTGAGATATCTTTGTTAATTTTTTGTTGTAAACTTTACTCAGTTTAAATGGTTAACTTTTAAGGAATAATTTGATTACTCAATTCTAATTTGTTAAATTTAATTAATAATATTGCTTGTATTCTGTTGCCACAATTCTATTGATAAAGCATATTAATGTTTACAGTAACGCCGTGTTGTGACACTGCACAGAATGAACTGAATGCTGTTAGAATGCAGTTTGACCACTTTCTGAAACATATCTCAGAGTGAGCAAAGAAACTGAAACTAACAAACAAAACACCAACTGTAAAATAAATACGCTCAAATAACTACAGAAGCATCATGAATATCCAGTTACCTCAACGTAGTTCCAGTGGCTGAGTCGACTAATGTGTCGCAATAGAAACGTGGGCAAGCCTATGACTGCTGAACACGAGCTTGATAGTGAGGTTTGAGCTGTGCATCACCTGTAATACACACCTGTCGCCTGATCTGATCCTTTATATACTCCTCTCTCTCTCTCTCTCTCTCTCTCTCTCTCTCTCTCTCTGCTTTCCCCTCCTCCTACTGTAATACTAACATTGAGCCAACCTTCCATAATCAAAATGCAAATCTCTATTAATCAAACATTCATCTGTGTTTAACGGTATGACCGCGTCTTGCAACCACTCCCCATTGCTCTGTCTCTGTTAAAGCCTTCTGGGCATTTGGTGGGTATTGTTTTACTTTGTGTCCTAAAAATGGGATTTTACTTATAACCGCCACAGGGATTATTGGGGTAATTAGTGCATTACACGCATCCAGATAAAATCTCTTATCACTGTCTGAAATCATGCAGTTGAAACGATTATGGAGTTGATATGTTAGGATAACCCATTTATTTAACGTGACATGATCCAAAATGGATGAACTACTTGAGAACTACTGAAGCAGATGTTCATTAAATGTTTATTTGTATTGAAATCAACTAACACAACTAAATCATCATCATTTCTGTGGTCAGTAATAGTTTAGTAAGGGAACTCACATTTAAAGTAAAAGATTGAGACGGCGGCTTCTAATCGTTTAAAGTGTAAAAAGTTTTACATTTTATTTCAAAAGATTTTTATTTCTAACTTTCTATTCATCAAAAAATCCTGAAAAAAAACAACAACAAAAAAACATTGATAACAGAAGCAGCACAACTGTTATAAATAATAATTGTTTCTTGAACATCAAACTCATCATATCAGAGTGATTTCTGAAGGGTCATGTGACTCTGAAGACTGAAGTTGCTGGACATTCAGCTTTGATCACATGAATAAATTAGACAGAAAACCGAAAACAGTTATTTTAAATTGTAATAATTTTTCACATATTTCATCGCTGATTTTTCTGTATTTTTGAAACAGAAGCAGATGAGGTTTTTACAAAACACATTAAAAAAAAAAATCTAAACAACCCCAAACGTTTGAACAGTACTGTATAATATACCATCTGAAATATGCATTCGTTAGACATACATAAGTAGCCTATATCTAAATTAACTTAGTATTTTCCATTGTTTAAACTATCAAAATTCCTTATTTCTGTTAAGGAGTAGTAACTTTTGCTGATAATTTACTCACCCCCATCATGTCATCCAAGATGTCCATGTCTTTCTTTCTTCAGTCGAAAAGAAATGAAGGTTTTTGACGAAAACATTCCAGGATTTTCTCCATATAATGGACTTTAATGGGAACCAAGCGGTTCAAGAGTTTAAATTGAAGTAATTTCAACTGAATTGAATTGAATGCTAGATTTCTGCTAGTACCTATCAGATTGACAGTAATGAGTCCACTATCAGATCCCTAAAAAGCTATCTGCTTTCCTGTTCAATAAAACCACTGGTCACACTTTATATAAGGGGTATGTCCTTACATAAATAATAATAATAATAATCACAATTGTTATGTACATGTTGTGTATTGTAAAACACTTTTGCTGCTATTAAGGGTAACACTTTTTTACATTTTACATGTTATTATGCATGATTACAAGAAACTGACCATACACCAAAGCCTAATACTAACCCTAACACTTTAGTAAGTACAGCATAGTTAGATGATATTACGTAGTACTTAATTGTATAATAACAGTGTTACATTGGCACCTTAAAATAAAGGGTCACAGTTTGGGGAACATATATTCACTTTTAACTATGATGTTTCCCTCTATAAACTCCTAATTCCTGCTTACTAATAGTTAGTAAGGTGGTGGTTAAGTTTATACCCTAAAAAATTCTGGGTTTTTTCAAATGCTGGGTAAAATATGGACAAACCCAAATTTGGGGTTAAAAATGTACCGTGAAGTTTGGTTAACATTTTAAATGACATTTTTAACCCAACATTTGGGTTTGTCCATATTTGACCCAAATTTGGGTTGAAACAACCCAGCATTTTTTAGTTGTTAATGAATTAAGATTTGATAGATCACTTCTTGTAAAAAAAAAAAAAAAAAAAAAATACATTTGCATGGATATTTGGACACTAGCATGAAAATGTTTTGGTAATATCACAGTATTTATTTTACTTTTAAATACCATGGTATATCAATCTGTGATCAGTACTATTTGGGTGATTAAAGGATGTAGAATATGATCAATATGGCATTAATATGTGCTTTAAAGTCCTAATAAACAGCCAGTATCCTAGTAATTTGCATGTAAATAAGCAACTCAACTAGAATTGGACCCTAAATAATGTTTCTGAATAAAGTGTAACCCAACCAAATAAGGTTAGGGACAGGTCTGATGGTATAGGTTAAGTGGTGTATAGTTATAGTATTTACAGAAATTAATTAAAAAAAAATGTAATTACGTGCAGGTTCTTTAAATAAGTACAATGTAATAACATGTACTTAATAAGTACATTGTAAATGATTAATTAAGATGTTAGTATACTTCTTAAAGTGTAGCCAAGAATTGTGACCCAAAAAAAGCAAAACTTAAACTAAAGATTTGAGACCACTTTTATGTCAACAATATATATGTATACAATTTATTTTATTTATTTACAAATTATTCGACGTTATTATTATAAAACCAATCCTTTAATAAAAAATGGCTTTGAGTCTGTTTTCTTATACGACGATGAGTCAATGATGCTTGTGTATCATCCTTTCGACTGTATTTTGTTTTACATATTTTATTAGGATTTTTTGTCACCATGATAGAACACGAAAAACTGCACACTGCACACGTGAGGCATGTCAGACACACGGCCTGTGTGGTAATGGCTGTGTCGTGACATAAAGTTTGTTACTGCACTGGTTTAGAGATGGGGAAGTACCTCTCCGGGACAACAGTGTAGTAGGAATGCACTCCTCAGAGGAACAGAGAAAGGGGTTGGAAAGTGAAATGAGGAACAGCTTTACTGCAAGTTCATGTTCACAAATCTTTTTCTGGTAAATCCAGTTTTATTCACATTGTGAACCGTGAATCATTTTTCATTCAGACACGCTGTCTTTGAAGGATAATTTAGCGTGTCTGTTATTTTATGCCGTTCGGTCCATCTCCAAGTCTATATGATGTTCTGATCCCTGGATTTGGCTCCTTACTGTTTCCAAAAGTGATTTTGTTAGCAATAAAATTATACTTAGGCACTAAACCCTTTGTAAACAGGACTGTCAAGCTGTGTGATTTAAAAGCGTGTCTTAGTGTAGAAAATAAATTAAGAGAGCCTGTAAAACTTGACAGCCAATTGTTGGTTCATCCTGTACTTTAGCAACGAGGTAATAAATGTCAAAAAGAAAAGGATTATCAAGGCCAAAACTATTTTAAATTCCAAGTACAACCAAAGGTCTACATATATATATATATATATATATATATATATATATATATATTATCAAATTGTATTATCAATAAGTTAGGTAAGGCAAGGTAGGTAAATAAGTTAGGTAATTATAAGTTCTCATTTGTTTCTCATTTTTAACTCATTAAACTAATTTTTGAAGACAATTTAATGTAATTTAAGTTGAAATGACTTAAACATCCAAGTTGACATAGAGTATATATATATATATATATATGAAGACTTCAGATGCAAAAGCCTCTAAGTGCCATCTAAAATTTTCTTCTAGGATGATGATTTTTATCAAGCTTGTATGTTTATGTTATTTCATTTTAATGGCAATGGAAATTACCTAATAATTGTCAATAAAGTGAAATTAATGAACCTAAATATACAAGCTTGATTTCTTTTGATGACATGTCTGAAATCTTCATATATATATAGTCATACAGGTTTGGGTAAATCATGATGACATCATTTTCATTTTTAGGTGTACTGTCCCTTTAAGTGTCAAAGTTTATCTGTGGAATTATATATGCGTAATTTATCATTGGTCTAAATAAAAGATTAGGTATAGAGAAATATCCACATATGATCGTCTCTATACACTTCACTTTAAAATCATCACTGATTTTCTTTCAAAAAAGAAAGAAAAAGAAATAATATCAATCTAACATTTTAATTTCTGTTCAAATAAAACAATATATCATCAATAGGGTGTACAGTATGGTCAGATCTCCTGTTCATAGACTGTTACCTTTCATGAGGTGAAAGGTCAACGCTTAAACCTCATTCTAACTGGCATCTGCTAGTATCAACGGAGGGGGGAATTTCCGTGTTGTTGGGTTTTATAAAATCACAGACAAAACAATGACAAGGCCTTGAACTGTTAGTCGTGAGAAGTGATTAGTGATGAAATCGCTGGCTCCTGTGACAGCTGGGAAAATACATCTGGCTCATTGGCCCTGTCAATAAAGTCCACCATCTGGAATATGGAAATTTTTATGAACTAACTCACCGCATCCTAACCTCCATTGAGTTATCAAACTGTCCCGAGCAAGTTTACTCAGTAAACAGTCGAAATCCCTTTGCAACATTCATCCGGTGAGAATCCCACAATTGAATCTGTTTGTGGACATTTTATTCGAATCACACTTTGTGAAGCTTCGAAACCTTAACGAATCCAAACTGGGTCATGTGATTTGAGTAAATGAGGCTGTGTTTCGTCATATCTCTCCACAAAACAAGCCCTACAATTCAATAAAGTAACTCATATCATACAGACACATCCAATGTAATGGTATTAGATGATTTGTTAATTCTGTTTAATTGATGCACTTTCAAGAAAACATTGCAATTGGTATGTAATGGTGTTTTTATGCATGTTTTGGCTGAGTATTTGTTATATCCACACTGTTTCGACCAGCTGACGACACCAGCGTGTTTTTATTTGTATACTGCTAAATGTATAAATACATCTTTTGAATCAGTGGATCAGAATAAAATCTGACTGAATGTGAACCCTAAACAAAAATTCACTGTGTGAATTTCCAGATTTTCCCAGCCGGAAAGTTGTGATTCAAAGAAATGTTCACTATGCAGCGAATACTTGAAGACTCTGATACAGTAGCTGTCAAATGAAGCATGGCCTCCGGTTACTAGCAACGTTTGGATTGCATAATTTACACGTAATTTTTTTTTACGTGTTTGCCAAGGATTTGTTTTGTTTTGACTCTATTGCAACCATGGAGGCGTGAAACTGGATTTTTGGAATGTTGATGTGTATAAATGGACTTTAAAACCAAGGCGCCTCTTTAACGCATGATGCAATGCACTTCATCTTAGAGACGAGCCAAGAAAAAAACATAAACAAGACATAAACAATAATACCAACAATGACACAACTAGTTCTACAAGGGAGAGCTGTAAACCAGGCGAACTCGTTTGGAAAACCCCTGGCTCAAGAAATGTCTGGCCGTTGTTTTACTTGCACCTGTTGCGATTATTAGTGATGGTAAAAGACAAAAAAGAGAGATAACTGCAGGTGTAGTTTCAGAAAGATGAGACAGCAGATTCTTATCATATTAATATTTCAGTATTTTACTCATTTTACATGCACAATTACGGGAAAATGT